AATTCGTGAAAATATATGGTGGATATTTTGAGCACTCGGCCCGTAATTCCTCGCCCATGAGCGGCGCCCATTCTACCGTCCAGCCTGTTGGCCTTAATACGGCGGCCGTAAACACGGGCCAGAGGGAAAGCTGGAAAAGTACGTGTGTATGCATATATGATACTACATGTGTGAGGGGGGGGGCTTATAAATATGTATACGTACAACCATACACAAATACACACACGCACGCATAAACACAAACGTGTGCACACACACATAAACACACACATCATCTATATAGGCATATTATGCATAAATATATATATATATATATATATATATATATATATATATATATATATATATATATGTGTGTGTGCGTGTGTGCGTGTGTGTGTGTGTGTGTGTGTGTGTGTGTGTGTGTGTGTGTGTGTGTGTGTGTGTGTGTGTGTGTGTGTGTGTGTGTCCATATACTGTACAAAAACGTTACTCAGAACCCGCTAAGGCTTTTACTGAGGTAGATTTCCTTTTACTTATTTGGTCACGTTGTTGTGTGTTCATGAGTTGGTGTATCTTACAGCGTTTACTTCAAAAAGTTGAAAAACAACTCTTTTGCAATACTGAAGTTGAGGATTTACCTAATGCAGATGACGTCCAAATACGGATGAAAATATTAATGAACAAGCTAAGAACTTCGCCGAGTGAGTCTCCTCGCACATCCGGCAGTGACTCGGAGGGAAGACGACCCTCAAAACACCTGCCGGAGCGAAAACACGAAACCTGTGCTGGTGAACTCTGAATATTGAAGGCTTTTTTTCACATGGACTCATGTAATATCAATTTGTTATTCTGATGAAGTTGCTTGTTATTAGTGAAAGAAATGTAACTCACATAATGCTATTTTTTTAAGCAGCAGCAAACAAATACACACGCACAAACACCCAAACACACACATACACACATTATCTGTCTTGGTAATTCTACATATCCATCGTTATTCATCCTTCAATTCTCATATTTCCCTTTAAGATTAATATCGAGCGTAGCGAGGACGCCAAGGGAGAGATGAGGCTCCCTTCGCACAGCAAATAATCCTTAACATCAGGCTGGGAAGAGCTGAGGGAGAGAAGCTTATAGACTTGCAACATCTCTAATAACGCTGGAGTTGGTGGGCAACGTGCATTAGCCGAGAGCCAACGTTGCAATCATTCGAGTCTCTTTCGTGGCTGTTTCTGTCATGCACAAATCCAGTGTGTGTATGAATATAATTCCCGGATTTATCACTGGTTTGTGGGTTCGCATTCACAATGGGACATCCTTAACGTTACGTAAACGAGGTCATATTTCTTTTTCTCATTTTTTTCTTTTTTATCCTGTTCCTATTCTTTATTTTGTTCCTATATTTTTATCCAGTAGGAATTATGAAGCATAAGTCACCTCTGATATCCTACGAACTATTTTTTTTTTTAAAGGGAACAACATATATGATACACATTATTTGTTAGTCAACGTGAAGACATTATTACTACCTTGTTTTCGTCCTGCGATCCTTTCATTTCAAGAAATAATTCAGTGATATTTAAAGCGGTGTATCTTTATTTGTCGACACATTTAAGTATGTGTAAGTGTGTGTGTGTGTGCGTGTGTGCGTGTGTATGTGTGTGCGTGTGCGTGTGCCTGTGCGTTTGCCTGTCTGTATGTTCTGTACCCGTACGCATGTGTGTATATGTATTTATTCGTGTACTTCCCAGTGCCACACGCCCAAGCACGCCCACCGGCCCGGCCCAAATCACCCATTCCTTCACTCTCCCAGTCCTCGCTGAGTCATATTGCTCGCTCTCCCAGTAGTTCGACCGCGGGAGTCCGAGAGTCGGAATACGGAATTTCAATTCTCCTTTCCATTAATCCGAAACTAGGAATCAATAAGCTCTGATGCAAGGCTTGGGTGATTGTGGCCGCGGGGCTTGTGGCGAAGGGAAGGATTCGGACGCGATTCGGATTGGGCTGACAGGGAGTTGGGGGGGGGGGATTCGCTCAGTCTTCTCTTCCTTCGCGGGTCATGTCTGTGTCAGGCGCCGTTCTTAATGAACCCTAATGAGGCCCTAAATGAACCCAAACGAAAGCTTAAGGGAACTCAAATGAATTCCTAAACGAACCCAAACGAGAGCCTATACTGAACACAAATGAAGTCCTAAATTAACACAAATGAAAACCTAAATGAACCCAAAGGTCTTAAGTCAACCCCAAAAAGACTTAAATGAACCCTAATAAAAAGCTAAACGAATTCCTAAAAGGAGTCCCAATGAAGGCCAATATGAAACTAATTGAAACTTAAATGAACCCAAAATGAAGTCCCTAAATGAACCCAGTGGAAAGGAATAAACGTCACAACTGAACATTTCGAAGTTATAATAGGTTCATTCCGGTTCATTGTAGTGTGAAGCGGGTTCGTTTCCCTCTGTTAGTGCGCGCGCGCGCGCGCGCGTGCGTGTGTGTGTGTGTGTGTGTGTGTGTGTGT